AAGTTTAGTGACTGTTCTTTAGAACCTGTTCTTCACTTCTGAAGAAGAGTCAAACCAAATACAAAACTAACAAATACAAAGGTGAACGAATAGACCAATAGTGGAGCTGAATACCCTGCAACATTTGAACAGGTAGTATTTGGTGAGTCAGATGAATGGGATGCTTGGGTCTTTGCATTCTCCTTCCACTCTTTGTACTTGGTCTTCACTTGGGTCTATTAGAGATGCCTTTGCAGCTTTCTCTTCTTCTTCAGTTTGAACAGTTTTCAAGTCAATATTCCCATGAGTTGGTGGGGATGTTGCATTTTTTCAGGGAGGTTTTGAGGACATCCTTGAAGCATTTCCTCTGCCCTCCTCGTAACCATTAGCCATCATGAAGCTTGGACCTTCTTTTGGAAGTCTCATGTCAAACATGCAGATGATATGGCCCACCCAACTGATAGACCATAACCAGTGGCTTGATACTTGGGATGTTGGCCTGAGAGAGGACACTGGTACTGAAGCCTCTATCCTGCCAATGGTTTATAAGATTCTGTGGCAGCACCTCTGCTGATATTTCTCAAGACATTTGGGGTGTCTGCTGTACATTGGCCATGTCTCTGATGTATACAGTAGAGCTTGGAACACTGCCCCCTGTAGACCATGAACTTAGGTTTGGGCCTGAAGTCTTTGACAGCAAATACTTTGGTTCTCATATGGGCAAAGGTCACATTTCATTGTTGATACTTGTCCTTTTGAGAGGAAGCTTCGAAGGTATCAACCTTCCAAGGAATTGATCCACATGATCAAGTGGCTCACCATGGATCTTGATTGTTAGGGGTAATGTTGTGCAGTGAGAGCAGGCTAATAGAGGATCTTTGACTTCTGGATGTTTAGCCCAAGTTTGAATGCAACTTCTGGGTATGGACACAAGTGAGCGTTATCTGCATACTGCAGCTCAAAAACAGAGGCTTGGGTGGTCTTGGTTCTGCACTGGAGGTGACTCAAGTTGAACAGTTTTCCACTTGTCCTGTAGCCTAGTTACACACCAGCTTTAAGCTTCATCGAGGTAGATCAAGTGTTGTGGCAAGCAAGATACAGAAGTGTGTTTTGACCCCAGTTTGAACATGTATGAGGGAGAACTGTTGGTAAGGATCAAGCGTTGCACGATGTCTGCAGTGGCAGCAGATGGCAATGAATTTCTCAAGACAACCAAATTAAAAGGAGATGCTTTATTGTCACTCCTCCACCCCCACAGTTGATAGAGCCAAAGGCCTTTGAGGCAAGAAAAAATGCCAAATATAAAGATTGTTGCTGGTCTTTGCACTGTTCTTGAACTTGTCTTGCTGTAAAGATTATGTTCCTTGTGTGATGTAAGGAATATGATTTAAGTATAAATATGTTAATATCATTTATTTTAGAGTTTGGACTTTAAACTAGTGGCATGTGGGTTTTGGTCTATTCATTTGAGGGGGTTTAATGATTAACTTGTCAGGATTTCTGGGGCCATGATCTGTTTTGAACCAGTACAAGGCAGCAATTTCCTTGAGCAATGATAGGAATTTATTTGCATTGTGAGAGTTTTACCATGGGATTAGCTTGCTTTTGGCTTAAAAGAATAGGGATTTTTTTTTCTTAAGGGGAAAACTCAGAGCTTGGAAAGTTTTTTTGGGTCAGTTTCCAGAAATCCTGATTGACAATAGATAAAAGAAACTTGCAAAAGGAGTTAGTTCAGAACAGTTGGCAAGTAAATTACATCAGTGTAAGGGTTTTAGTTAAAATTCCAGACCAAAAGTGTTCAATTAGAAACCTGATGGGACTATTTAAAGCTGAAAAAATGGAAACTTAATTGTGTGACTAATTGAGGAAGAGGCTATTAAACTTTCAAAACCAGGAGTTAAAACAGTTAATTCAAACTGAGAAAGTTTGGTATTCTTTGGTACTTGAGTCCTGAACAGTGATGTTGATGGAATTGTATTTTACCACGTGCTTTGAAATCTTTCAAATTGGGATATATAAATGGCTCGGTTTATTCTATTTTCATTTCTTTTGTGAAATGAACTTCTGTTTTATTGATAAATCCAAATATGCCGAATCTGCTTGTGCTCCTGTGAATGGCAACCTCAAAAAATAAAGTGTGATCCTTCAAGACAGATTTCAGTCTGGGGTTCAATTTGTTCAGTAAGAACATGACTTGGGATCATAACAACTCTCGACTGACAGAATTAGCATTGTGACTGCAATAGTAACTGTTCAGCCACTGAGTTGAGGCAATTGAGGAGAATTTTTACAATGGCTTTCTTGTTGATGGAATGCAGTGACACCTGTCTGTAGTTACCGCAATTGTTCTTATCTCTTTTTCTGCAGATGAGGTAGTCACAATTATGATGTCTTCAAGTTCCTCTGGCACGGTCTCCTCATTCCAGATGAGGAGAAAGGTTTTGCATATCGGCTAAAAGTGCTTCTTGAGCGTGTTTTTGCATTTTTACAGGGATTCCACCAATCCAATGGCCTTGTTAGTTCTCAGCTGTTGGATGGCTTTTTTTTAACCTCATTTCGGGTTGGGATTGGGCTGAGATGGTGAGAAATAGGATGCTGTGGTATGTGGTCAAGGGCACTCAAGTCAAGGCCTGAGGCTTGCTTAGGATAATTGTTGAATTGCTTCTTCTAAAGAGCACTGACTGTCTCTCTCTCCTTGATGATCTCCCCTCTGTTCTTAACTCACAGTGGGATAGGTGCTTGGGCTATGGATGATCGTGACTATGATGAAGAATCCACATATGTTCTAAGTGTCGGTAGTTCCTATATTTTCAGCACAGTTTGCCAGCCACCATCTCTTCTTGAAGTCATGTGTTTTTTTGTTTGGCTTCAGCCTTCATGTGTCTGGAGACATGCTTCAGTATTGGTTATGGTTCCAGTGCGGGAATGCCTTGTGCGTGCTGTTTAAAAGCTCCTGAATTTCCGAGCCATTCTTGTCAACCTAGGCTTGATGTTACCTGGTATAGAAGCTTGAAATCTCCTCACAGATACTGTTGTGATGAATGTAAGAATAGGCCAGGTGCTGTGGGCATTCTGTGGCCCCTGTTTATTGAGTGTGTCCATGATTACAGTGAGGCACTGACCGAGTAGTTTTTTTTTTGCAGAATCATTGAGTCCTTTGATTCTGAATTGCCTGCAAAAGTGCTTTTGTTGTTTTTGGCCCAGATTTTAAGAGATAGTAGACCAGATTAGTCAGTGGCTCAGTCCAGCAGTGGTCATTTTCTATCATTCATAGGTATTGCGAACATTCTTGCGGTCCCTCACTTGGGCTATGACATAGTCAAGGAAGTGTCAACGTCCAGAGGGAAGACGTTGCCATGAGGTCTTGCATTTTTCTGACAAATAAGGTTTTAAATACATTTCATCAGGAAGAGGACTTCATGATGTTTACGTTCCCTACACCTTCCTTTCCAGAGGTCTGAGGCATTCCCAATCTTGGCACTGAAATCAGCAGGAACAATCAGTTTGTCTCCCTTTGAGACACTGGATTGATTAAAGTTGGAATAGAATTCCTCTCTGGGCCCATTTGTTGTATTTAGGGTTGCGGTGTGCGTACTGATGTCTGTGGTGTAGTATTTCTAGGTTAAAGTGAACCACAGGGTAATGAGGCGTCTGCTTACCCAATAATGGGGGCTGTATGAGACAGTCAACTGGTTCATTTTTTATTGTAAAACCAACCCCTCGGACTCAGCACCCTTCATCAGATTTATTTTTCCAGAAGATGTTGTCAAGGGAACTTGTTCCTTGAGCTGGTGTTCTACTGCCTGCTGTATCTCACTCAGGGCAATGGTGTCAATGTCATAGCGTTGGAGTTCTCAGGTCATTATAATGGTCTGATGTTCAGGGCTGTCACTGTTGAGGTTGTCCACAAGGCTCCTGGCATTCCAGATCCCAAACTTCATCTTGAGGGGGTAGAAGATGCCTAGGTTCTTTTAAATTGGGTTTACTAAACACCAACTACTATACAGGCTGGGCGCAGCAATGTTTTTGCTGAGATGATTAGAAATCAGGTTCTGCTGAATGGACATGGATTCAGCAAAGGCTTATTGCTGCTACAACGTCGATTAAGGGTCTGGGCTCTGGTGTTTGTTGTAACTAATTAACCCAGCCTCTTTCTGTGCTGTTCCTGACTCTGAAGCTGTTCTCCCTTCCCCCTTTGTGTTAAGTGACCAGGTCCACCTCTGTCCTTGCTGTTTCTCGTTCAATCACCAATCTATTTCCCTGTGATGTTGCACATTGTGGTCCTGTTGATGTTTAGCAGAACCTGGTGCTCCCCCACTTTTGCCAGCTCTACATCCCCTTCATCTGTGTGCTGTTTTTCCCTGCACCCCCCACCAAGTTGCTGCTGCCTCAGCATTACTCCTATCCCTGCTACTGGTCTCGATCGTTCCCATTACTCCTCTGTTGTGCTTCTGCTGCTTTTATCCTGATTGCTAGTGTCACTTTTTCCCCACAGAGTTCCCACTGCCTCTGCATTGCTTGTATACCCGATGCTAGTCTCTCTCTTTCCCACAGCTCCGCTGCTATGTTCCTGCTCACCTTTGCGCTGCTCCAATTTACACTGTAGATACTGCTCTTTCCTGCTGCTTCCACTTCCCACTTTGTACATTTTAAACAAAAATTATCCACCACCCAAGATTCCTTCAGAATTATCAAGCCTGCTCTTCTTGTTTCTGTATAATTCTGGCAAGGAGTCTTAAGGAATTTAACCTGGAGTTGGGAAGCAGCCCTAGCAAACGGGCTATGTCAGGAGGCTTACACCTGTTTTATATGGTCTCCAGGGTACTTAAAAAAATGGCCTCACCCAATATCCAGCCATAGTTTGCGAGAGGGTCATTTGTCCCCAGAATGAGCTCTTGCTGTAACTGCACAATGACTCCAAGAGCAAAGTAACAAGATCTGATTTCTACCATGTTGTGCATGAGTAGCTTTTTGTATTTCTGATAAATAAGGAGCTATACAAACACAAGCCTTTCTTTTACCTTTTTTAGTCTCTTATTGCCGTTTTGCTTCTCTGCTGTTTCTGACATTTTATTATCTGAGTTGTCAACATTTTCCTTTTTTTCCTGGGCAAAGAGAGATGTAAAGTCACTATTTAATAATTCTGCTGCTTCAGTTGCCCTAGACTGCAAGGCTTTATCAATTTTAAGTGGAAAGAAGAGTTTCTTTCATTTAAACAGACAGTCTCACTGTTGTCAGTAATCTTGCAATTCACATTTCTTTTGGCATTTAATTTACATTTTTCCCAGCTGTCCTTAGAATTTATGCAATAATCCTGTCTATCTGTTGGATTTCTGATATTTCCCTTTAACATTCCAAGTAAAAAAATATTTTTCTGCCAATGGATTGTGCTGTATTTTAAAAGCTTTTGATCTTTATATATTGTTTGGATCAACATGGATGATGTTGAATCACTACTTTCCAAGGTTTTTCTAAATGCCAGACGATGATGAGTCCAGTTTATAAAACATATGCAGATTTGATTAAACTGGACACAATAGGAAGGCATAATAAGCTGGAATTGTCCTATCTATTGACAAGCAACCAACTTGATGAATAGTGACTACTTCCACTCAAAATTGATAGACATTTTGGTTTAACTAAATCATGCAAGGTACACTTTTTTATAAATAATTCATTGGGGATACTTCAGTGTAGTTAAACGATTATATTTAACAACCTTAGGCCTAGATCTTTGCCCAGAATTATGGAGACTTTGTACATTTTCCAAAATAACGAGTGGTACCTGGATCTAACGTCCTTCCCCCATATCTGACATATCTCATTTTCACCAGTAGGAAAAAGGATACGGAGAACAACTCGTACATGTGGGAAATCCACGCTCTGCAGGCCAGTTTGTGCTCTGAGTTTAAACAAACTGCATTTTCATTTTAGCAAGTGCCTCAAATAGCTGTGTGGAAGTTATGAATTTTTAGCATTCATGTTGATTTAGAGTTGGTTTCATGTAAAAATAGATGCCATTGTTCGGCTGAAAAATAATTCATATTTCATATACCTTGTTTAGAGACAAATTAAATCCAAAAAGTTCCTATCTACCACCCAGTCCCAGCTGAAGGAGCCAAACTTGCACTGGTAAAAACCACAGAATAGCACACCATTGAAGGTGGCTGTTCAACTCCTTATGCCTATCCTCATATCTTTGGTTCGTCTTACTCGACTTTATGGGACAAGGTTGGTGGGAACAGTCTTGACCTCGCAATTCTGATTGTGTGGCAACGGGAAAGAATGGATTCCAACCTCTCTGACACGTTGCTTCTGCAATAGTTGACACCCTACCTTTTGAGTAAAACTTTAATCTTAGAGACTCAACTTTTACATGAGTATAAACAATACCTGTAGAACTGTCAAGCTGTGAAGTTATTTAAATCAGAGTCATTGAGCATAGAATTAGGCCCTTCAGCCCACCATGTCTATACTAATCAACAAACACTAACAAATCCCCAACTGTTTATAAATATCTATTTTTAAAGGATGTCTGTGTCAGTGACAGCAAAGAAACTCTGGTCTGGCAGTTACAACAGCTGTTTGTTGACATTTCTCTAAGGACTATCATTACATCATTATTAATACTTGTCCGATTTCCATGAGCTATGATTAGTCCTGCAGGTGGTGCTAAGCCAAAAGTTTGATAGCTCAAAGTGGTTATGAAAGGGTTAGCTGTCTTTAATGTATGATTATGAAAGCAAGCCTGTTTATTATTATTTTAAAGGAGGAATTAAGTTTTGAATAGACTGCCATGAATGACAGTTCTTTTCATGCAGCGAAATCCGTAAAAGAAATATAGAACTTTATTTTCTTCCATCTCAAACGGGTCCTGAGGTCTGCCCCTGGTGAATATTAGGGGAGTTAGTATGGAGGCTGTAAAGGCAAAGAACAATGGGTGGATTGTTATGAGTTGGTACATGGATAAGGGGGGGGCATTGGGGTAAATGGGGAAGCATAAGTTGGTATAGATGGAACATGGAGCTTGGGAGGAGGATGAATGCAAAGGGAGCTAAACTATGAACAAACAACTGGAATAAAGTGCCAGAGGACCGTGGCAGGCCTTTTAAAGCTTCAACACTTGGCAAACTCAGTGAACATTTCAGATATGTGCAGGGGTTCAGAGGCTTGATTCCATCCGACACTTGTCCCCCATGAAAATCCCATCATTCAGGGCAGTTTCTCCAGAGGCATTTGTGACAAGCTGGGAAATTTCTCAACTTGTGTCATCTCATTGCGAAAATCTAGGTGTCCTCTGTGTCCTTTGAAGGGAAGGAAAGACATATGTTCATAATTGGTTGAGCTCCACAGAATGTCAGGCTGTGAAAAATGGGAATCCTGTGCCATGATTTCTTAGTGCTAATTGGTTCATCAAGCAGGAATAAATTAAGAACTTCTAACTGATGGCCTGGCTTCTGAGGTAGTCAATGTGGAGGGCTTTCAGTATCCATGGCAGCTTCCAAATTGTAAGTGTATAATGCCAAGAGGAAGTGTTTTGCACACTTGGATCAAGATCTTTTATAAAAATGTATTGCGAAGCAACCATGTAGCAATTTTATCTTTTCAGCAAATGTTACTCAATCAGAGTTGCCAAGCTCAAATAGAAGCAAAATTGCTGCTATTTTCCATCTGTTCATCTCCTACAGCAGGTGAAACAAGCTTAAAAAAAGAGTCTAGAGCATTTCAAGACTTGCAGACGCTATGTGAAATGCAGCACTTTAAATTTGGTTTCAGACAGACTTCTGACAATAACTTGTGTGTTCCAAATAATTAAATTTTGTTTCAGTTCTTGCTGCTCTTAGCCTCTGTAAAGTTACTGAACTGCACGTAGACAGCACTCTCTTTAACTTCTCATGGAGCTGAACGTGAGCAGCAAGAGCAGGATTAGTCATTCTGGCCTTTTGAGCCTGCACTATCATTTAATACAATAATAGCTGATTTGATTGTGGCCTCAACTCTACTTTCCTGTCTGTCCCCTATAAGCCTTGACACGCTGGTAACTCAAACATCTATCTAACTTAGCCTTGAATATACTTCATGACACAGTCTCTGCTGCTCTGAGGTAGGAAAAAAACTAGAAATTAATTATCCATGGTAAGAGGAAATCTCTCCTAACCTCCATCTTAAGTTGGAAACTTCTTATTCTGAAACTGCATCACACTGTTCTGTATGCCCCCAAAGGGGAAACATCATTTCAGAATTTTCCCAATAAATCCGGTGAGAATCTCATCTGTTTCAATAACGTCACCTCTCATAGAGTCATACGGCACAAAAACAGATCCTTTGCTCAAACCAGTCCGTGCCGAACATAATCCCAAACTAAACTAGTCCCACCAGCCTGGTCCTGGCCCATATCCCTCCAAACCTTCCCTATTCATGTACTTATACAAGTGTCTTCAAAATGTTGTAATTGTGCCCACATCCACCACTTCCTCAGAAAGTTCATTCCACATGTGAACCACTTTTGATGTAAAAAGTTCGCCCCTCATGTCTTTTTTAAATCTCTCTCCTCTCACCTTAAAAATGTGTTCCCTAGTATATGATGCAAAATAGACAGACCCAAAATTGTAACTCTGAGCCCAATTGGAAATGGACTAAGCACAGATTCCATCAGGTTTCTCACCGTAGCTCATTGGTCAGGGCCTGTCCAATTCCAGAGTGCTCCAAGCCAGTCTGTCGGTTGATTCCTAGCTGAATAGGGAAATGGTGGAATTCAAGCCCAGGCAGATGGTGGTTCACTATGTTTTCATAAAGCCAGAGAGAGCTCACTCCATTTCCACAGAAATAAGTGTGGCCCTCAACTCAAGAGATTGCTGATTGGGCCTCCCAAGACTTAGAACAACTAGATGGAGATTTTAGGATACAAGGTCCATCTTTTTCAGGCCAATTTTCTTTATGGCCCTGCAACTGGATTTGTACTTCAATTTGCACATGTTAAATATCTAATTTTTGTTCTAGCCAGTACATCTACAAGGTGCTATCTTCCAATTTGATATCTGGAAACTTCCAGGGTACTTTGACTGTGAGGAAATGTGACTTAAATTTGGTTGCCTCTCCCTCCAACACTAACAAAACAAATCTGCTGTGCAATTTCTTTCCTGCTTTTTCCATCAAAAACTGTAGATGAGTTACATCATCCAAAAGTGAACACAGT